TTCACCCTGGATAGCTACCCAGAGCAAATGTCCATCCATTATCCTAAACATAAGCTAATCAATTTGGCATTTAATTTGGTCCCCAAATTCATCCAAAGGAAAAAGCCTCTCAAGGCTCTGACAGTTTTTACTTACGGCTCAGGGTCCTCCCACAAGTCAGATATGACTTGGAAGGATCCCAGGACACAGAAGTGGGTGTCTGACATCCAGGTGCTGGAAGGGTCACCACAGCATGCATAACTAGCAGCCATCATCACAGCATTTGAAAAATTCCCAGAACCAATTAATGTGGTCACTGATTCAGCATATGTCAGAGGAGTAGCTATGAGGGCTGAACACTTTCTTAAAAGAAATCTCAAATCCATATTTGTTTAAGATGCTTTCTAAGTTAATTTATCTCTGTTCCTGGGAACAGGAAGCATCCATTTTGTATAATGCATGTGAGATCACACTCCGACCTCCCAGGTGCCATTATGGAGGGTAATAGGAGAGTGGACACACTTGCCATGACAGCTGGGACAGCAAATGTTCTGGGCATCTTTGCCTAGGCAAAGATGTCCCATGCTTTTTTCCATCAGAATGTCCCAACCCTCATATGCATGTTGCATCTATCTAAAGACCAAACCAGAGCTATTGTGGCCACCTACCCAGACTGCCAGTCTTATCAATTGCCATCTTTAGGCTCTGGGGTCAACCCCAGAGGCCTCAACAGCTGCCAGGTTTGGCAGATGGATGTCACCCACTTCCAATCATTTGGGAGACTAAAATTTATACATGTGTCAGTGGATACCTTTTCGGGTGCAGTGTTTGCTTTGGCCCACACAGGAGAAGATGCAATCCATACCCTTATTGATGTACAAAGCAGGCGCTCGTGGTGAGAGACTTCTCCAGGGTCAAGCTGTTCAGGTATAAGCAGTTTATTATTTGGGTAGAGGGAAGAGGGGGCCCATTTCCTCTGCCAGTCACAGTGTACACATGGTCAGGGAGGGAGAGAGAGAGTGGAGAGGGGAAAGAGAGTAGAAGGGAGTAAGAGTTAAGAGAGGTGTGGGTAAGAGAGTGTAAAAGCAAGAGCAAGTAAGGGCAGGTAAGAGTAAGAGCAGGGATTAAGGGAGCAGGTTAAGAGGGGGAGAGAAGTTAAGAGCTAAGAGCAAGAGAATAATGGAAGTTAAGAACTAAGAGAGTGGGGGGAGAGAGCTTAGGAGTTAAGAGAGAGGGTAGGAGAAGTTAAGTGGGGAGAAGGGAATAAGAATTAAGAAAGCAAAGTTCTTCTTACAGTGCATTATATCCTTTTCTATAGTGAATATTCTAATTCCCAGTAAGCAACCACTATGTGACACATATTCTAAAGAATTTACAAATAGCCTATAAGAACTACTACATTACCATACAGTGTTACATTTCAAACTCTAAAAACTACCTTTCAAATTCTTCTCTTGCTGCTTGACCTTTGCATTCTCTATCAGCAGAAGGGTATTGTTCTATCGACAGGTGTGGGTGCAGAGGAGCCCGCTGAGTCCAAGATCCTGGCTCTCCCCTGGAGACAAGATACTTCTCTGTAAGAGAGAGACAATGTATCGCTCCCAGGGATCTTTGAGTTAGATATGTTAAATTGTTGTGCCCCATTGGTGTTCCCCCCTGCTGTCCCACCCCGATACATGTATCTCGGGCTCCCCCCCCCGCCCCTCTCCTCCCCTGTAAATATCCCGGGTTTTCCCCTGTTCGGGAGATTAGCTGTTGCTAGCTCCCTTCACCAAAGCTCTGCCTGAATAAAGGTTTGTGCTTAGCGGAATGCTGGACCAGCTTTCTCATCCCTTCTTCCCGCGTCACCTGCCCGCTGCCGCTGAGCTCAGCTGGAATCACTCGACTGCCCGAAGCTGCTCACATGCGCTTCGGCCCAGCCTTTTTCAGGGCTGCTTCTCCAGGGAAGTCACGGTGCTCCGGGTTTTCCATCACCGCAGCAACTGGCGCCGATTGTGGGGCATTCAAAGGAGCCCTGAAGAAGCGTCCACCTGCAGTTTTAGCTGTGAGGTGCGCCGCCGTTCGAGCCGCCACCCCTCGAGGAAGCTTGCTTGTGATTTAGCAGGAGGTGATCCAAGAGGCTGCGACCGGGACCCTCGCTGACCATCTGGGACAAGGAAGAGCCCCTGAGGATCGGCCGCCCAGGTGACCACCCACCCAGCAGCTTTTTTTTCGCCCACCTGCATCTGCCGAAGAGAAATTTTAAGTCGATCCCCTGAAGGGTTTTTCGGGTTTTTTCTTTTCCTTTGCTGTTTTACTGCTGGGCAGGGAGTGAAAAAGGATGGGGAACCAGTCCTCCGGATCGAGGCTGACCCCACCTGAGAGGGACTTTTATATCCAAGTTGTAAGCACCCTAAAAGTGGGAAATTTTAAGTTTTCTAAAGGGGATTTAAAGAGATTTATTCATTGGGTTTTAAAACATTTTAGGATTAATTTGGATTCTGCTAAATCAGGAATTTTTTGGGATAATGTGGGAAGAAAGTTATATACTGTTCAAGCTAAGGGAGATTTTTCTGTTGCAAAATTTTGTCCTGTGTTTCAAAATATTATTTTCTCATTGGAAAAAGAGGGGAAAAAAGAAGAGGGAGTTTTGGGTCCCCAGTTGAACCCCCTAACCCCGTCAACCTCTCCAAGTGCCCCTAAACCCTCTTCCCTATCTGAGAGCCAGTCAGCGGGTGGAAGTTGCCCCTGGGCACAGGGCTGCTGCCGTCTCCCTGACACCCCCCCCACCATCTCTCTACCCTTACCAGGGTGGCAGTGGCCATGCTGCTCTGGGTCTTTCCTCTAACTTCTCTCCCATGCCCTCACACCTTGTGTCCCCCTCAGTTCCTAGTGTTAGCACAGATGGTGCTGGCAGTGTGGCCAGCCCCGCCATTTTGTCCCACTCCCACCCTGGTTTTCCCACCCTCAATGCCCAAAATGGCCACTTTCCTGCCTTTACCCCTTCTCTTCCTGCCGCGTCCTGTTCCTCCTCCCCCCCACTGCATCGTTGGGTGTAACCGTGTCAGGCCCCGCCCCATCCATCAGGAAACTCCTCCCCATCGCGGACCCTGCTCCCGCCCCTTCGTGCCGGGGCCCCACCCCCGCTGGAGTGCCTGCTCCAGGGTCCCAGTGCCCTGGGGGTCGGGATGGCTCCGGCCGGAGCGGGGCCATCTCAGCTTCCCCACCTGGCCACAAAAGGGACCCGAGCTGGCCCCGCGCCATCACCAAGCGCCCCCCATCTCCACTAGGAGATGAGAGCAGTGAAACTTCTTATTCAGATTCTGAGTGTGAAGACCACTGGGCTGAGGTGCAGAGGAAAGCCACACGGGTGGGGAACTCAGCTCTGTCCCAGAAAATACTTGCCTTTCCTGTAATAATGAGGAGAGACAGGACAGGGGCCCAGGTTGCTGCATGGGAATCCTTCACTATAGGGAACTGCAGGAACTTTGTAAAGCTGCCGAGAAACATGGCAGGGGTTCACATTTTTTTAAACACTTGTTGGAAGCCTCCTTTTCTGCCCACGTCATGGTCCCGCATGACATCAAGAATATTATGAACTGCTTTCTCTCCCCAGCAGAGTACATGATGTGGGAGAGGCAGTGGAAAAAACATTTAAAACAATTAGCAGATGTTTATTTTAAAGATGCTAACAGACCTAATTTTACTTTAGAGCAATTAGCAGGAGAAGGAGATTTCCAAAAGCCCCGAGATCAGGCCCAGGATCTGCCTGAAGCAGCTTTACAGGATATAGCTAATGCTGCTAAGATATCTCTTTTTACCACCCCTGATGATAAAGTGCCAAGGCAGCACTTCACCAATATTAAGCAAGGGCCAACTGAGTCTTTTATTAAGTATATTGATAAATTAAAAGTGGCCATTGAAAAGCAGATAGAGAGCCCTCAGGTGCAAAAGGAATTATTAGTAAAAATAGCAATGGCCAATGCTAATCTGGAGTGCAAAGCAGTTTTGCGAGCCCTCCCACTTGACCCCGAACCAACCATAGATCAGATGGTTGAAGCCTGCACCAAACACTCCTCTGCCTCAAGTGAGAATAAAGTGGCACTTGCAGTGGCTAAGGGAGTGGCAGAGGGGATCTCTGGAGCTTATACTGCAGACCCCAATACAAATCATTGTTTTAATTGTGGCGAGCCTGAACATTTTTTCAAAGACTGTCCGGAGAGACATTCTATACAACCGCCAGCCCACCAATGGTTACCCAGACAAAACTGGCATTCAGGAAACTTCAAGCAGAGTGCAGAACGGCCCCATGCTTCAACATCAAATCAAATGCCGCACCACTCCACCCCTCCTGCCAAACCCACCATCCTGCCTCCACGGGGACCCCGATATCAAGCCCAGCAGGTGGAGCGCTTCAGATGGGAACCCGGCGTCAACTGGTAACTAGAGTCTCTTTACATATGAAGAGTGACTGTATTTACAAAAATCCCAACAGGGAAACGTGGACCACCAGGTGGTCCCTCCAACATCTTAATACTTGGGGATCCAACCAACTCTCCAGGGCAAATTCATACTGTTCCTGAGGTTCAGACTATATACCCTGGAGATGAAATTTCCATCTCCCTGACCTGCATAGACCCTCCTTATTATTTAAAGGAACAGACTCCCGTGGCACAGGCCTTTTTACTTTCTAGTGACTGCCCAGATCAAGTTCCCCTCAACCCCAGCACTATGTGGACTCAGGTTGTGGGCTCCTGCAAACCCATTGTGGACTGCAGCCTATTTTGTTATGGGGAAAGGATTCAGCGCCCAGGAATGATAGACACTGGAGCAGATGTTACCATCATCACCCGCTCCGAGTGGCCAGACAATTGGGAATTACAACCTGTGGCAGGCATGATTTCAGGAATTGGAGGGATGACAGCTTCCATGAGGAGCAAACAGAATATTGTCATCGAAGGACCTGAGGGAAAAATGGCAACCATCAGGCCATTTGTGGTGAGAGCACCAATCACCCTCTGGGGACAGGATCTCCTGTCCCAATGGGGGGCTTCTCTGCGGAATCCCAGGGATTTTTAGTCAGGGTCACTGAGAAGCGCGCGACACCTACCATCCCCCAACAGCACCATCCAGTGTGGGTTGATCAGTGGCCCCTATCTGAGACCAAACTGCGCGTACTGGAAGCCCTCGTGGAAGAGCAGCTTGCCAAGGGCCACATCACTGAGCCCTTGGAACTCCCCTGTCTTTGTCCTACGCAAACCAGGCAAGGACAGGTGGAGACTCCTTCATGACCTCCGGAAGATCAACGATGTCATTGAAGACATGGGATCCCTTCAGCCTGGCATGCCCTCCCCTTCTATGCTCCCCCGGGATTGGAAGCTGGCCGTCATTGACATAAAGGACTGTTTTTTCAACATACCCTTCCATCCTCGGGACGCCCCCAGATTTGCATTCTCGGTTCCCTCTCCAAACAGACAAGCACCTTTAAGAAGATACCATTGGCTAGTCCTTCCCCAAGGGATGAAAAATTCTCCTACTATCTGCCAATGGTTACGTGGCCCACATCCTGTCACCTGTGAGGACCCTGTTCCCAGATGCCGTCATCCTCCACTACATAGATGGCATCCTGGTTTGTGCTGCTGACGATGACTATCTGCACCGGACTTTACAAAAAACTATCCAATTGAGGACGCTGGATTTGAGATCCGTGAGGACAAGATCCAGCACACCTGCCCTTGGACCTACCTAGGACTCCAGATCTGTGAGCGGACCATTGTGCCCCAGCAGCTGACCATCAGAGACGACCCCAAGACTCTGTGAGACTTACATCAGCTCTGCGGGTCCATCAACTGGATACGCCCTCTGCTTGGTGTAACAACAGAAGTCCTTGCGCCCCTCTTCAACCTGCTCCATGGCAGCGAGAACCTCGATTCACCATGCTCCCTCACGCCGGAGGCCCGGGAATCCATCACCAAGGTCCAGGAGGCCCTGTCTTCGTGGCAAGCCCACCGCTATGAGCCCAGCCTGCCCTTCCAACTGGGTAAGGCCCCGAGCTTACACACACTCATTTTTCAATGGGACATGACATTGAAGGATCCACTCCTTATCATCGAGTGGATCTTTACACATGACCAGCCCACTAAGACTATTACCACTCTGCAGGAAATCATGGCTGAACTCATTAGAAGAGCTAAAGTCCGTCTCCACACTCTTGCAGACTGTGAGTTCACATGCATCTTCCTCCCATTGGTATCTGGAAGTTTGGAGCCTTTGCTCCAAACCAATGAGAGCCTTCAGTTCCCTCTTGATAGCTATTCAGGCCAAATTTCTATACACCCACCTAGCCACAGACTTTTCAAAACCACATTTAATTTGGTCCCCAAATCATTACAGAGCAAAACACTGCTCAAGGCTCTGACGGTTTTCACAGATGGCTCAGGGAAATCCCACAAGTCAGTCATGACTTGGAAGGACCCCAGGACACAGAAATGGGAGTCTGATGTCCAAGCAGTTGAGGGATCATCACAGATTGCTAAATTAGCAGCCGTCGTCAGAGCTTTTGAGAAATTCTAAGAACCTTTCAATCTGGTGACTGATTCGGCTTATGTGGCTGGAATAGCTATGAGAGCAGAACATGCCTTTCTAAAAGAAGTCTCTAACCCAAATTTATACAAATTGCTTTCTGAATTAGTATATCTTATCTCCCACAGAAAGCAACCTTACTATGTCATGCATGTGAGGGCGCACACTGACCTCCCAGGTGCCATTGCTGAAGGAAACAGGAGGGCAGACGCCTTAGCTATGCCTGCTGAGGCAGCCAATGTCCCTGACATTTTCGCACAAGCGAAATTGTCCCACCAGTTCTTCCACCAAAACGTGCCTGCACTGATGAGAATGTTCAGACTACCCAGAGACCAGGCCAGAGCAATAGTTGCCACCTGTCCCAATTGTCAATCTTTTCAAATACCGGTCGTTAACTCCGGGGTTAACCCCTGAGGACTTAACAGCTGCCAGATATGGCAAACCGATGTCACTCACGTCCCGTCCTTCGGGAGAGTCAAATACGTACATGTCTCCGTAGACACCTTCTCTGGTGCAGTGTTTGCCTCAGCCCATGCAGGAGAAAATGCCAAGCACACCATCCAACATTTTCTCCTTGCTTTTGCTACCCTGGGAGTCCCATAACAAATTAAAACAGACAATGGACCTGCTTACACCTCTCACAAATTAAGAGACTTTTTCAATGAGTGGGTGGTTAAACACACCACAGCATTCCTCATTCCCCTACAGGGCAATCAATAGTAGAGAGGACACACCAAAACCTGAAAAGAGTCCTTGATCACCAGTGGGGAGGAACAGAGATCATTCCTCCCATTGAGAGGCTCTGTAAGGCTCTATATGTCATGAACTTTCTAAATTGCTCGCCTACAGAGCCTGACCTCCCTGTAATTCGGCACTTCTCTAATTCAACTCATGCCAAACTCACAGAGAAGCTGCCAGTGCTGATCAAGGATCCTGAATCACAACGGACATCAGGACCTTTCCCATTGATTACCTGGGGGAGAGGGTATGCGTGTGTGTCCACACCATCAGGACCTAAGTGTCTCCCAGGGAAAAATGTAAAACCTTATTTAGGACCTACAAACCCTGCACCAGACTCAGAACTTTCAAAGTCTCCTGAGACCCACACAGGTCCAGAAAAACAGCAGTCCACTGCAGTCTGGAAATGGAGACGTCGTCGGAGTCCACCGAACCGACCTGCCACCAGACCATCAACCAGACAGAGGCCAAACCGTCCTGCTACCAGGGCCGCAACGAGACGACTGCCAACGTCACACCTGACACCGTGACAGTACACAAGTCTTCTTAACTCGCTTCCCCTTCCCCTTCTTGCCCTCGTTGCCTAGCCCAAATTGCCAGCTTACACCAAAATGCACCTCTGTGCTGCTGCTGGTGTCAGGTCGTGTCCCCAATACACAGAATAACCTTGCTTATAATTGTTTGTTTTTGTTTTTTTTTTGGTTTGTTTTTTCAAAGAGGGAGGAGACGGGAGAGAAAAGGAAAGAAGAAATTAGCCCCCCCCCTCCAAAAATCAGAGCTAATCTTTTATGTCCTGTTATAGAAAATGGAGAGCAAAACCATCCTTGAGTTCCTGATGTTCCTAACAGTCTGGATGCTCCTGGAAACATCAGCTGTGGAAGCCTGGCTAGTAGCACAGCTCCCGGAGAATGTGTGGATCACCCTCGCAAAGACGCTCCAACAAGAACACATGTGCTTGTCCATGGGCAGCGCCACCAACCCTCTGTCATCCTGCCTGTTAAGGATTCCTTTAAAGCCCCATGAATATCCTTTCACAGGGAAAGAACCCAACCCGGTAGACATTTGGGATGGGTGGACAAAGATCTTGCCCCATGCACCAGAGGAACCCCAGGAATTGGAGCTTTTGGGATCTACCTATTGCATAAATTTTAATTATCACCCAGTAGCCAATGCATGGCCTGCCTCAAAATACCAAAAGGCAATTAAATCAAGGAAAAATGTGACTCCCAACAATAAAATTTACAATCAGTCCAAATGGTGCAATTACACCAGCAGCACACCATCTGCCTCCTCTCACTTATCCCAGAG